TAAAAAATTATTCAGTGAAAAGTCTCCCTCCCTTCCACGATGCTGATCTGTCCAGTTCCCATTATCATCTATTTCTGGCAACCAGGATTATGAGTTTCTGTTTCTGTTTCCTTGGAGGTTTTCTTTTATATATATAAATCTTTATTGTTGAAAGTAATACATAGGTCCTCCTTTTCCCCTCATTAACCTCTTCTTGCACCTGTTCCCTTCTCCCTCCCACCTCTCACCACCCCATTGTCTGTGTCCTTAAGCGTATATACATACAAGTTCATTGGTTGATCTCTTCCCACCCACCCTCCCCTACCTTCCCCTTGGAAGGTTTCTGTATGCTCTTATGATTCTGGATTTTGAGCCTTGCTTTCTTTTGATTCACCTAGATATTTTCTCAACCCCTTTATTTAAACTTTTCTGAATCATTTTATTTTAAATATGTTGGTTTTTGTTTTTGATCCAACTAAAGATTTTTTTTAAATCATGAAATTGATTACATTTACCTTAATTGATATGTTAGACATTTTGGTTTTTATTTCTCACATTCTTTTATGCTATTTTCTAGAGGCTCAGTGCACAAAATTTGTGCATGGGTGGGGGGGTCTCTCAGCCCAGCCTGCATCCTCTTGCAATCAAGGACCCGTGGGGAGATGTTGGGCCTAAACCAGCAGTCGGACATCCCTCTTGCAATCTGGGATGCTGCATGTGCCAATGACCATATTTTTCATACAGGTGAAAGGCATCTTGCTGTTGTATGGGCAGGTACATTTTTTTGCCCTGATTATAAAAAGTAGTACATAACATGATCCTTCTGAGGCAGTAGTACCATTTTCCCCATCATATGGGTGGAAAAACTGAAGCAGAGAGAAGTTAAGTAATTGGCTTTATCACACAGTTATAAGTGTCAGAATCAGGGCTGACCACAAAATGTGCAAGCCAGAGTCCAAGCATGTCATCTCTGCATCATCCTGTTTTTTCAGTGTTAGAGTATCCTTGCCAGGTTTTAATTTTTAAATCTAAGAGACTCTTCCCAATATATAGGGTAGGGTCCTTAGGCCTGGCCAGCGATCAGGGCCATCTTTGGGGCAACCAGTGGTCGGGACGATCAGGGGGGCCCCCCCGCTAGCATCTGCCTTGGCTGACGGCCTGGCACTGCCCGCTTGCCGGCCTTGCCCCCCTATCACCACTGCTGGTCACCTCCCTCTCGGGGGGGGGAGGGGGGCAGATGCTCAACACAGGAGCTGCCCCGGGGGCAGGTCCTGCATTGAGCGTCTGCCCCTTGGTGGTCAGTGCACATTATAGCAACCAGTCGTTCCTCTGGTAGTTTCACTGTTAAGTCGATTTGCATATTATGGTTTTATTATATACGATTGTTTATATATACTTTAAGGTTTTCACTGGATCTGTAATTTATTTCTTTGTTTTTATTTGGAGGGTTGTTATGTATTTCTTCTAGTGGTACCTTTATAATCATAGGCTCATATAATTCTTCTAGCTCTTTATTTTTCTAAGACAGTAACAATTAGATCCATGCTTAGTGACAATAAAATGAATGTTTCTCCATTACCCAATCCCTCTTCCTTTACACAATTTATTCAAGAACATTATCTTTCTTTGTGCTGACTTTTATTTTAAATTTGCTTATGTTGTTATTTTGTTTATCATGAATAGAGCTTTTCCCTTACCCTACCAGTTTTTGTTAATTAAACAAAATGTGGTATATACTTTCTATTTTGTCATCCTAAACCCCACATTATTTGAGTCTCACTTCTACATTTAAATATATTCTGTGCTCAGCACCAAATCTTCTTCCAAATTTTTCTCAGTCATTTCTCAGTTTGTTTTGCTGTAATTTCCTATAAAATACTCTTAGGAGCAATAGTCTCTGAATTCTCTGCATGTTGAAACTATTTGTCATTTTCAGATTTAAAGCACGGCTTAGATGCATGTTTATAATATCCATATCTCACATATTCTTTCGTTGATTTTTTTGTTGGTATTGCTCTACTATCTTCTGGTATTGATCATTGCCATGAAGATATCTAATGCAATATATATTTCTCTCCTTTTAAGTGACTTGATCATTTTGTCTGGCTGCCAAATGATTTTGTCTTTATCTTTAAAGTCTAATAACTTTAGTAGGCTATGCCTTGGTTTTGACTAATCAGAGTCTATTATTCCTGGTACACAGTACAGTCAGCCCTTTGTATCTGTGGCTTTTGCATCTGCAGATTCAACCAACTACATATTGAAAATAATAGAAAAAGAAGGTTGTTGCCAACATGTACTATGTACTATGTAGTCAGGCCTATGATGCTTGAGTCTATATTGAACATGAGCAGACTTTTTTCCTTGTCATCATTCCCTGAACAATTTAGCATATCAACTAGTTATATAACATTTCATTGTAGTGGTATTATAAGCAATCTAGAGGTGATTTACGTATACAGGAGGATGTATGTAGGTTATGTTCAAACACAATGCCATTTTACATAAAGGACTTGAGCACTGGCTCCTGGATCCAGTCTCTGATGAGTAAAAGGATGACTGTATGTCCCTTCTATGTACATCAAGTAGATGCTTAGATGAGGAAAGTCTTATTACATGATAACTTTAAATATTTGTTCAGCTTTGGGTTTTTTTCTTAAGGACTCACCCAACTTACGTGTTTGTTGGATCCATGTTTTTTAATATCTGCCATTTTCTTCTCTAATTTCTTCTCTTCAATTTTCATCTTGTATTTGTTTTTCTCATTTGTATATTTCACGTTCCCCACTATGCTTATTCTCACTTATGCCAAATTTTTCCTATATTTTCTTGAGTCCTGACAGCTCACATTTCACCACTTCCTGTTGAATCTTTGTTTCTTTCATTTCTACTCCGAGACCTTCCTTTATAGAAGCAGGTGCTTTTTCAAGTTTTAAAACTTAACTTGCGACATCTGCTCAGTAACAATATTTATCTATCCAATGTATCAGTCCATGTATTTGATGAGCTTTGCTGCTCTTTTCAAAATGTTTGGTTTTTAATTTTGCTTATAATACCTTTGTGTCTATGGTATGCTGATTATTTATTTATTTTTTTCATTTTCTCTTTTAATGAATTAGCTTAATGAGTTGGCTTTTCTTAAACTTGAAATTTGTAGGGGTCCCTGGGTGATACGTGCTTGTGATCTGTGATCAGTGTGGCCTTCAGCTCTTACAACCCACAGGGGCAGACTGCTTTTAGCAAAAAATGGCTCACACATAAGAATCACACCTATGACCATTTTTTGCTAAAAACAGTCTGCCCCTGTGGGCTTTGGTATCCAGCCTTATTCACCTCTGTGCACATCTCAGCGGTTCTCAACCTGTGGGTTGCGACCCCTAAAAATACATCCTGCATATCAGATATTTACATTACGATTCATAACAGTAGCAAAATTACAGTTATGAACTAGCAACAAAAATAATTTTATGGTTGGGGGTCACCACAACATGAGGAACTGTATTAAAGGGTCGCGGCATTAGGAAGGTGAGAACCATACTATAAATGAAAGATAAAGCATTTGTACTGCAGGTTAAGCCCCTCACCTTTACTACGTTTTTGCTAGTACTTTCTGAGATGCTAATGTGCTTACATGCTCCATTCTCATCACTCTTATCGTGTCTAACACTGCCCAATCTAGTATCTGGCTGCCCTTCTTCATATTGTGTAGGCTGCAGGTTACATCTATCTTTGGGTTTTGCAGAATGTGGAATTTATTTGCAGAGTTATTTCCCCTCATTTTCCTGGTTGTTCTTGCATAATATTAAAGAGAAAAGGGGGAAATGTATTGACGTACATTGTTATGTTTGTATGGGAAGTACTGAGTTTTGGTCTTTTTTCAATTTAGATACATAAAAATGCTACTATACTGTGAAGTTGCTCAGTGTTTACATAGTTTCTTTCAAATTCCTTGGCTTGGTATTTAAAATATTCCTCAGTCTAGCTCCAGCCTCATTCTACTTTCATCTCCTTCATATTTTTTATGCTTTTGCTAAATCGTATTGAATTATTTAGAGTTACCTGAATAGTCGTTCTTGTTTCTCCATATTTTGATTCAATGTGTTCCCTCCAGTTGACATTTCCTTCCCACCTTGGTAACCCTTCCTCATCTCCATGGTTCTTATTATCACTTAATATCCTATCTGGACTTCAAGTTCCCCTGAATTAGCATCTAATTCTTAAAGCTTTGCCTCTGGTTTCTGCATATTTTTATAATCTCTTTATATGCTTAACCACACTTTCCATAGCTTGGATCCTCTTAGAATTGTCTTCTACTGTATATGTTAATTTGGTTATTTGAGTGCTGTTCCTACTTTCTACCAGTTGGAAGAAAACCTATGACTTAGTTATGTTTGTGCCCCATTTACGCCTGAGCACAGAACATTGTGCATAATATACATTCAATAAACATTTGCTGAAATGATAAAGTTTAAAAAAAGGCCAAAATTAGTTTTTTGAATGCATGGCACAATTTCCTCCTACTTCTCGCTGATGCACAATATTACCACTCATGGGGATAATTTGGTGCTTTTTTTTTTCTGAAGCCACAGAAAAAAAGCATCTTATAAGAATATGATTGCAGATGTACTTGTTTAGTCATCCAGGCAGTCAAACTGTGTTTTGATTATTTTAATTGTTTTATTTTAATACAGAATAATTTGTCCCTGGCTTTTTATGAGTCCTTGATAGCTGTTAAGTATATTAAAAAAACAAAAATGGAGAACTACTGTAATCTTCTACTGTTAGATGGTGGATCTCTATCATGATATAAATATATTATAACCAATTCTGTTAAAATTTAACTTTAAAATTAAAAAAGGAATAGCAGAAGCTTAACAGAAAATTTCCCCATAAAACTCTAGGCTTTAGAAACATACAACTTTTTAAGTAAAGTGAAACTTGAATATTTACTCCCCACTATTTCATTTAATTGGGCTCCTTTTCAAATATAATTTACATGTCATTTCTTCACCATTTTTTAGCTTTGAAAGCTGTATTTGTTGAGAAAAACCTGTTTCCCAAAGACTTTCTGGATCGTGAAAGAAGAGCCAAGCAATTATGTCAAGAAACAAGTAGTGAAGTGAATATAAAAAGAAATAAGAAGCAATTATAACTGAAAAAAAAATAAATATTTCATTGACACATGAAATATGTGTATGAAATGCAGAAAATAAATTTTAAAAATGCCACCTCCTTTTTTACTTTATATTTCAACTTCAGAAAGTTTTGTTTTCAGACAATATTCTTACCCATTACTTTTCACTTTCTCTCTATTTTCAATAAAAGAAAGATTGGACTAAGAGGGGATGGTATTAATTGGTATTACCTATTCTCAAGTGTTTTTATATAAAAAATGTACAATTTCAGAACAAAGCATTCTGACCTTTGGTTGCTTCTATAGACACATGTTTTGGTCATTTTTCTTTAAGAAAACCTGCATTGAAATTAAAGATGAAAAATATTGACACAGTGAATATCTATAAAGTCAACTAAGAAAACTATGCCCACTTATTTACACTTTCTAGTTTTGTGTGTGTGTTTTTTTTAAATGATACTGATTATGAAATAAGACCTTGTCAGTAGCAGCTGTTCTATTAATTATTATTGATTTATATTCATTCTTATATGAAGTTATTGAGAAATTATTGCATAAGTTCTACTACTACTCTAAAACTGAGTAGCATAGTACAGACAAAGTGGTATAGCCTCAAGAAAAGAAGGGTTCTGAGGTTATATAAAGAGCTCACTCTGTATGGAAGGTCAAGGAGACAATATTTGGTTCTGAAACACAATGCCTTACCTTTTTGATCTATTTTTCTTTATAAATAGCATCTTTCATCAGGCAACCAATATTCTTTTTTTTTAAATCCTTACCCGAGGATATGTTTCTATTGCTTTCAGAGAGAGAAAGAATGGGAAAGGGAGAGAGAGAGAGAGAGAGAGAGAGAGAGATCAATGTGAGAGAGAAACATTGATTGGTTGCCTCCTTTATGTACCCCGACCCAGTAAATGCCCTGACCAGGAGTGGAACCCATGACCCTTCGGTGCATGGGACGATGCTTCAACCAACTGAACCACATGGCCAGGGTGGACAACCAATATTCTTATGCTGCTTTATTTATTTTGTCCTGTAAGAATAATTAATAAATTCTTTCACACAATATTACTATAGTATTTGTATTTTAAAGTGTCCTTTCAAAATATTTGAATTTTAAGAAAACTTTTGCAATAACACACAAAAATAAAGGAAATAACTAACAACATGTAGGGGCCTACTCTGTCCAGTAACCGCAAAAATTCATTATGTTTAAACCCCACAATAATTATATGAAATATATCTATTTTAAGGTTAATATCTGAGAGTTGTATTCATTAAAAGAGTGCCCAATTATTGATGGTGAGTTGGGATTGGAGCCCAAATCCGTTTTTCTCTAGAGACCATAGTTTTTGACCTTCACCATTCTGTTTACTCACCTCTCATCACTTATAAAGTCAGTGAAATTAACTCTAACAGAATTTCCAACATCAGTGGAGCAAGTTTTAATTTGGTGGAGAGGATGGCAGATGAAAGGTTTTTAGAAAACAGTTGCCTATTCCATCTATAATTAATTGCATCCTGAGTCAGGCATTGTGACTTTTGTGTAAGTTGCTTTCCTTCTCATTAAGCAACAGTCACATATGAGGAAAATATAGGAGCAGGATACATGTGAAAGAATTGTGACGAATGTCTTCAGAGTGCTTAAGGCCATAGAAAGCATATTAAGAGGAACAAGAAATGGGAAGTCTAGTTTCAGAAAGAGAATTCATGGGAGATACAAGCTATCCTCAAAGATTTCAAAGCTGTAGTGAACAAAAGAAGTAGAACTAATGAGCATAATTCTAAGAAGGCAGATTCTAGAATTGCTTCCTAATACCTGTTAAAACCTGAAAAAGTTTCTCATTCTCTTCCCATTGACACTTCCCATCTTGGTGCAGAGTAGTTGGCAGCAGGCACACGTGTATGGCTATGAAAGGAAGGAGAAGCTTAGAGAAGATCCACCAGATAATATGCTTACTGAAGCTAAGAGTGTGGAAGGGAATGGGGAATGAAGGGTGTGAGTGCAGAGGGGGTGAGTGGAGGAGATGACCAGCATAGTTGGAAGAGTAATTACATTGAGCAAATGAGAACTGAATAAATAAATGAATAAAATTAGTAAATATATTGAGGATAATGAGCACTAGATATCACACTGTTGTAGAAAGTAATTGCAAAACTTGAAAGGGGGAAAACTAGAAAGAACTCTGAGATTTTGAATCGGGATTAGAGGTTTCAGATATCAGTGTGAATTCATGGTTTTAGACAGGTAGATAAACAATAAAATGGAATATTTAGGAGTAATAGAAAGTTATGTTTTTAGCTTGCTCTCAAATTATTAAAAATATAAATTATAATGTGTATATGTATATATTTATACACATACACTCAACACACCGCATATATGTATCCACATACAAACATATTATAAAGATAGGTGGATGGGTAGGTAAAAATTAGTTATATAGATAGAGTACACATGTGGTGAAATGTTAACTGGGAAACTGAGAGAGAGAGTGGGAGATAGTAGTTCTTTGTATTATATCAGCACTTTTCTGTCAACTTAAAAGTATTTCAATGTAAATTATTTTTTGAAAATGAAAATGTTGCTTTGGGACAGAGGATTCTTTGAAATGTTCAGAAAGAGGCTGAATAACACACACAGGCATATTGCAGAGAATTCTTCCACTGGTTGGGAGATTTGATCAGACTATTCATCATTTCAAACTCTGAGCATATGATTTATGAGTCATATATTGCTGACAATATAGTGGAGTGAAAGTTGAGTCACATTTCCAGAAATTTAAAGGAATATTGAGATGTTAAGGACATGTAATATGGGTACCAAATAGTTTGCAAAGACTCATTTCCCCATCCATCCATCCATCCATCCATCCATCCATCCATCCATCCATCCAATTATTGAGGGCATATGCAAGGGACTGTTTTAGATGCCAGGTATACACAAATAAATAGAACCATCTTCTCCTGCCATCATCTTTCTGAAGTGAAAGCACATAAAATGTCATGGTCTATTAAACAATGGTTGAATGAGCCCCCTAGTTTTTCTAGAATAATTTAGAAATTATTTTACTAGACATATTTTACTTTCTCTATCTCTAGAGAATACTTTGTTTGAAATTATTAGTCTGAAATTGTCTGGTTGATATAGATAGACCTCTCTATAGCCTATTGCATGTGCAAAGCACCAAGCTGTGTGTGTCTCTAAACCCTAATTTAGTGCTTCTTCTATGAAAAGAATGAAGAGGAGCTGTCTCACAAGTATATTTAATGAGAAAAGAGTTTTGAAAAGTATGAAAGTATCTTTTAATGTTACTGTTTCTAATACTTAGGAACAAAACATACACAAAGGAAAAAGCAACAACAACATTTAATTATGCCTTACTCTTTTACAGCTTACAGCACCTAACTGTGTTAAGCTGGTAGCAGGGTCTCACTTATCAAATGTTAATAGAACTGAAGACTTTATATGCTATTTCTGAAATTAACATTTAGGTTTAATTATTTAAGACTCATTTTTCTAAGGTGAAAAGAACTTGTCACATTAAAATAGGATGTGCCAACCCTGGCTCGGGTGGCTCAATTGGGTGGAGCATCCTCCTGTGCATTGAAAGGTTGCAGGCTAGATTCTCTGTCGGGCACAGGATTCCCCAGTCAGGACACATATGGTGGGGAGGCAACCTTTCAATGTTTCTCTCTCACTTCAATGTTTCTCTCTCTCTCTCTCTCTATTGCTTTCCTTTTTCTAAAATCAATAAAAAATCTCTCTCTCTCTCTCTCTCTCTCTCTCTCTCCATTGCCTTCCTCTTTCTAAAATCAATAAAAAGAGTTCTTTAAAAAATGATGTCCCATACTTTTCAGTAGGCTATTTTGTTTGTTATATAAAGATTTACATTAAATATAATTTAACCTGTTATCTTTTCAGAACATTTCCCTCTTATCACACAAAATATACATAGAGCAAACTGGCAGAGGGAAAAAATACCTGAAATTAATCAATGAAAAAATTAACTTTTCAGTCCTTTATTTATTAATCAAAACACTTGATTGTGTGTTTTTTTAAAGTTTGGAATTAAATACATGTTTACGAAAAAAAACTACAAAATGCTACTAAATGCTAATTAGAAGGATAATGAGATTGAACCTATAACCTCTTCCTATTATTTTTTCCCCAATGCTCTAGATGCAAAATTGAGTTACAGAAGAAACAGATTTATAAAAATATTTAAAGGTTTGCAGTAATATTTTAAGGACAATTGTGGTATCTTTATTGTCTTATTAAAAAAGCTTAAACCAGGGAGGAGAAATTCATGGCCGCTGCTTTTTACTCCCTAAAAGAAAGGAAAATGGACAGTCTGCTTGAACTGCTCTAACATAAGGTCCTTACACAACAACTTCATTAAATGATCTTACTAAGACTGAGTGTCTGTCTCTGTCATTGGGAGGAAAAATAATGGCCTGTTCCTGGGCAAGTCACATTATGACCTGAACACTGTAGACACAATAATTTGGTAACCAAGTGTACTTGTGATGGATGTTTGCTGGTGTCACTGCACGGGTAGAACAGCACTGATTGAATGATAGTCTTAGACATTCGGATTTATTATTTATGAATTGCAGAGTAGAACAGAAGAATGACTGTGTTCTTATGTTGCATAACTGTGATTTTGGAAAACAACCTCTAACAGTGTTATATTAAAAGCTGCAAATGAGCTTGCTTACATCAGAGTCAGTGATATTAGGGAGCGACCCAACATTTAGGAAACATTCAGAGATGCTTAGATGGGCAATTAAACATTTTAGTAAATTAAATACTATGACTGACATCGGTCACCAGGCTTTTCAAGCCTGATATTAAGCTATAGCCCTAGAACACTGAAAGATGCTAATGGGATCCTTGAAAAAGCTTTTTTTACAAAAACTCCTTTAAAGGCATATACATTCATTTGACTTATTTTTCATAGCTTTATCAGAAGTAATATTACATTTAGCAATCAATAGTAAATATTTGTTTAATGGTAACTGAAACAAATTTTCCACTCCTCTTCTCAGAGGCCACTTATTTAATATCTGATTTCCATTGACGTTATTGATTTGAACTAGAACAATGAGATCAAAACCTATTGAATTATGCATCCACTTTTTATTAATGAACTGTTTGTAGAAAAAAATCATGTAAAATGTTAAGAGCACATACTGGTAAATATAACACCAATGTTAACTATCAAATTACTTATGTTTAATAGTAATATCTTGATGTAATTTGGTAAATCTATAATCTTAATCTGGTCTTTTTGTTCAACATAAAGATTATATTTCTTTAATATTTAAATTTGTCCCTAAGGATTCAAATGGGCCTTGTATCCATAGGAAATTCCTCTATTGTATAATTTGATGAATTGTTGAGAGCTCTAAATGCAGCAGTAATTTGTCTCTCTGCTTTCTAGACTTGATTCAGCTTTATTCTTTTTGTCATAGGTATTCGGAAATATTTATGATAGAATACATTGGTATTCTGATGTAGGATTCCTATGAGAAGCAAAAAAAGCTAATTACTAGCAAATTTACAGGCACTGGCACATTCTTCCAAATTCTGCTTCTACTTATTATAAAAGAAGTGAAATAATCATATAAACTTCATGATCTTTTAAAATTCTAGTATTGCTTTCTCTCTTAGTTCTTGCATATTTCATCATTGATCATTAACCTGATCATATCAGACCTTTCATTCAAATGTGGTGAACACCTGCTTTGGTTTTAGAGGAATTAATCTAGGAACGTTCAAGATAAATAGAGTTGGCCTTGACCGGTCAGGTGTCCCATGTACTAGTGTTTCTCAGCAGACATAACGTAACCATGAATGATCAGAAGCAAATTTTGAGTAAGTACCTTAAAATTAAATAGCTCTTGAATGAAGTATATATGCAATAATATTAATTGTGAGTGTTTAATAGAGTAAGACTAATGTTTCAATTCACTTTAGTAGATATTATTTAAGTTTGTCAAGTTAATGCATTACTTTTATTCTCCTTAAAATATGTCACTATAAATTTGAATATTGCATTCTTATAGGACTGTTTGTCAGTTTGTTTAGTTCATTAGTACTTTGTGATTTCTAATGAGATATGATACAAAAGCCACTGAGGTAAGTCAATTTTTAAAACCAGCATTTTGTGTGAGCTTATAATTTACTAAGTACCTAGAAATTTTCTATGAGAAATGGATGCTCAAAGAATGTATATTTTAGTTATTAAGATTATTAATAACAATGAGAGGATAACTTCCTGATTTAACTATAAGGGTAAAAATACATCCTTCATAATAGTGTTTATCATTCTAATACAAACCAAAAACATAAAGATGTGCCTAATGGATTACCACTTGGTGACTTAAAAGTACTGATAACATTGTGACTACATATCTACAAACTAATATTTTGGACAGAAATCTTCTGAGATAGTGAATATATTAGAAAATGATATGCAGAAATTTATTTTGTGTTAGCTTTTACTATTGTTGCACTACTACTAACAACCTTAGGTACCAACCTACTCCTCGATAAAGCATTTGCTTGATGGCATATATGTATGTATATTTTTAGTTTAACAAAACATTATTTTCTAACAATTCTTTGGATTGAACTTAGAGCTCTTTTTTTCTTTGTGAATTGTATACCTAAGCATGTAGAGTTTACCTATATAAATTAGAAAATAATTTGAAATATCTGGATAATGACTCTGCAGCTTAGTTTTGGAGAATATTTGACTATTGGTAATCTTTATATATAACAGTGATATTAATGACTTTTAACTCACTTGTGGGTCACGGTGACTTCCCTAATGGTCTATAAAACACTCTAGAAATATAGTTATTCAATTATTTAAGTTTAACAACACAGTATTCCAAAGGCTTTTATCTTTACCCCCAATAAAAATTACTTCCTAGTAATCTATTCGACTAGGAATTATTACGGGCTACTCAAATGTATTATTTGTGGGGGGAAAATAGTGTTAGTAAAATTTATGAGACCTTCAGAGTCAGTTTTCCTCCAAGTCTCTGGTAAAATTGCAAGAACTCATTCTGCTCTAGATGTAATCAGGGTTGAATTGTCTGCAATTTTAGTGGAGAGCACTTTAATAAGGTGTCATTAGTGTTGTTGTGACTCGGTTATAGTTTTCAATTGCAGCTTTCTTACATTTGTTATTTGTCAAATTTTTCTTTGATTTTTTTTAAAAAAATTGCTCTCTTTTTCTATTGATGTACCATTTATATTTGGTCATAATTTTGTTTATAGTTTTCAGAGTTTTCTTTTCTCCCTTTGGAATATTACATGTGGGTTTTGGGGTATTTTGCTCTACAAATTCCATCACTTTTACTGTTGTAAAAAGTTAGCCAGATTATTTAATTGATTTAGAATACATTAACTTTTTAATATTATAGGTCTAAAACCACACGGGAGTGTATTCATTTTTTTATTCCATTTCTGTTTTTGATCTATAGAGTGGTCTGGACGGAGGGTTCCCTTGATGTCAGAGTTACAGTTATTCTATGTAAAACCATGGGGAAAGATAGAAAAAGTGTATCATATACCCATTTAGAAATAGTACTACTATATTGATACTGCCCCAGAATCATAATTCCTCTTTTGATTTTAAGAAACTGCTATATATGTTGAACTGGTTCTTGAAGGAATATTAAAAAATACCATTAGCACATGGCCTATTCTTCTTAATAGATGATACTTAGTAAAATACACTTGGGGTAATTTGTCCTAATAACACAGAAAATTCTAATAGGTAGGAAATTTCTTTGAGTGTGAGATGATAAACTCTGATTACTTTGAAAGCTAATAAGTTTTGAATTAATGCACAGAGGTCAAAATGTTTAAGATCGTGTGGAGTCTCCTATTGACTTTTTCTGGAAGTCAAGCCTCAAAACCCTTGGCTCAGAGAAATACTGAATTTGCAGTGGATCTTTATCAAGCTATTTGTTCATCTCAGAAGGACAACATTGTATTTTCCCCACTTGGAACAACTTTGATTCTTGGAATGGTACAACTGGGAGCAAAAGGAAAAGCATACCAGCAGATAAGACAAACTTTAAAAGTTCAGGAAAACTCAACTGGTAAGATTCTTACATATGATTATTTGTACTAGATGAGATCTGGCCCAATTTATTTTTTAAATATTAGAGAGAAGTTCATGGTCATATAACTTTAACAAATAAAAAATGTTGTAAAAAGTATAAATTTATAATAAAATGGGCAATTATAATGTAAACAATACCCATTCATTTATAATTGTTTCCTAATAAAAACATTACAAAAATAATTTATTAAGAAATTAATTCTATACAGATATAAAATTGTGAGTACTAGTATATCTGATTATTTTATTCTGCCCTATTTTAGATAGCTTTAATTAACTGAAAATAAGTTTTGTGTGTATGTGTGTTTGTGTATATGCATATATGTACCCATACATGTATATCTATATATATAAAAGCCTAAGCGACCATTATGACCAGATGACCAGACGGTAGCTATGACATGCACTGACCACCAGGGGGCAGACACTCAATGCAGGAGCTGTACCCTGGTGGTCAGTGGGCTCCCACAGCCAACCTCCTGCAGCTGGCCAACCTCCTTCGGTCCCTCCCCCCAGCCAACCAGCCCCAATGGGCCCTGATTGGGACTGGGCAAGACATTTCTGGTCGGCCCCAATTGCCCCCATCACCGATTAGGCTGAGGAACCCTATCCATGCACAAATTCATGCACTGGGCCTCTAGTGTACACATGAATACTCTTCCATTATCGCTTACTATGTTGTGATCATTTTCTCATAGCGTGCAACTGCTTCAGAATATAATTTTTTATTGTTGCCTTTTATTGCCTCTTAAAGACATATCATTACTTACTTAACCCTTCTTCTTCATTAGGTTGTTTCCAATACTTCTCCTATAAAAATGCTTCAATGAGCATCCTCACCCAGAAATCTTTGTGTTTATCTCTATCTCATTAGCTTTTTAAAATTAGCTTTCTAAGTAAAATTTAACCTTTGCACTTAAATGAGACCAAGAAAAAGCATTAATGTATACATTTTAAAAGTTTCTTTAGTTAATACTTTTTAAAGAAAAATTGGGAAAAACATACACACACACTAACACCTTTCAGAGGCCTTTGTACATGTGCGTGGTTGTTGTTTGGGAGTCTCCCAAAGGTTTATCTGCATTAGCGTACCTAACTTTTAGTGCTGGCACCCCATTTCCCTGGCTACCTTGTACTTTCAATTTCTGTAATAATTCTAATTTTAAACTTTTTCATCTCTGTCAGATAATATGTCATAAACATTAGAGGAAACACCCGGGTCTTTGGTTTGGGACTTTATTCACCACAACTAATTTCAGTATATTGCCTTTGCACAGAACAGTTCTATTGAGGAATTTGTTTTTCTTCTTCACAAGGTTTTATTTGCATCATTTTAAACAAAGGAAATTTTATGTGAAAAAAGAAGTTGGTGAGAGTCAAGTTAATTGCAAGAGTTTCCCTTTGTGAATAATGTAAAAGGAAGCCACTACGTTTCAGATTTGGTCTTGGCTGTCTATATTAATTTCAGCAAATCCCACTACACAGTCCCAGAAACATTTGAATCACATGATACTGCTTTGGAAGGTTAATAGAACATTTATGAAGATATGTAAAGTTGATTCCATGAGGAACTAGTAAATTAGAGCCTCCAAAAATCTAAATTATTTTAAATGGGTTTAATCTTACAGAGAAACACAGATGTTCTAACAACTCAGGATTGTGAATGTGATAATAATTATAGTAATAATGATGGCACTGTCAAACACATATACGTATATATATATATGCTTGATCTACATGGTCTCATTTAATTTTCACAATTATTTTGAGAGGTAGACATAACACTGATGCACACTAAGGCAAAGGAATGTTAAGTAACTTGCCCAGAACTAATTCTGGAAATGATTCAGGGAGGTAATAAATAAATCATAAGAACAATAATAAAAATTCCTGTATTTTTTGGAAGAATATTGATGGACAATTAAGCATTAACATTTTAACACATATAATAAGATGTACCAAACTTGTTTCCGGTTATGCCTTGTTAAGGGAGAGAGGGGGTCACTGATGGAAGAAAGCTGCAAAAAGAAAAGGAAGATCAGCCCCAAAGGTAAAGGTTTGAAAAATAAAAAAGAGTAAAGAAAAAAGAGACAGAATTAAGGAGAAAGCAGTGAGAGTGCAAGAAGGTGGATAAAATGTTTATGGGGGCCCTAGCCGGTTTGGCTCAGTGGATAAAGCATCAGCCTGCTGACTGAAAGGTCCTGGGTTCGATTCTGGTCAAGGGCACATGCCTCAGTTGTGGGCTTGACCCCCAGTAGGGGGCATACAGTGATTCTCTCTCATCATTGATGTTTCTATCTCTCTTTCCCTCTCCCTTCCTCTCTGAAATCAATAATATATATAATGTCAATGGGGTCTGGAGAAAGAAGAACAAAATGGCACTAAGGACAGGGGAAGAGTGTGACACTTAGGAAGGTAGTTCCTGGAACAGCCATATTGGAACCCAAGGCAGAAAGAAATATCACTAATAATGATCCTGTCTTTATTTACAGTTTTTATTATTTTGCTCATCATGAATTTATTTAAATCAATACTAATTTCTAAACTATACATTACAATTAGGTATTATTTATCTTGATTATTGAGTTTGTTGGCATCTCCTTCAATTTTATTCTCAAGGAAAGTGTCTCATCGACTCATCTTAGCCCTGGCCCTGCCTTTCATTCCCAGTGATTATCAAAAGGTGCACTCTGTTGAATCAGCCTATAGTTCACTTTTTATGCTGCAATCTGTTTCACATGAACACCCCACTTATTCTACAGATGGGCACCCACCCCCACGGGGGCTCTCAGTGTCCTCGGTTCTCCTTTCCCCCATTGCCAAGACATCTGCCCAGAATTTACCTTCCCCATTTTACTGAACCTCTGATAATGCTGCAGTTTTCTCTGCCTGTAATAATTTTGCTTACTAATCAAAGACTAATATGAAGGTGCTTCTTTATTACAAGAGCATTATGGAACCAGACAGTAGGCATGAATTCCTGACTCAGCTCTGCAATCAAATGACCTTGGGACTTGGCACCTCTCAAGTTTCTATATCTCTCTGGATTTTAGATTCCTCACTAGAAAAATAGGACTTTGGATGAGATGATTTATATGGCCCTTTTGGCTAAAATAATCTACAATCCCATAACCCTCTTTGTTTTCATCTTTGGATCTGTCACATTGCATTCACAATTGGCCTTTGGGCCCTTCATAGCAAGAGAAGTAAACATGTACTAAAGTTTAGAACATTTTCTGGAGGCCTGGTACAATCAAACTAAAAGTCATATTCACCCTATGGCTTGTAGGTTTTCTGTGGCTCTATTTTAGGAAATTAAACTTGTTTTCATAGCTTATTAGGAGCCATGAATATGTATTCTTTTTTTTCTATGCTGAAAGAGGTTATTAAACTGTAAATTAAGTCAAATTTGTACGGCAGATAACTTTATATTCTCCTCCAAACTTGTACTACTTGGTGACAGATTTTTATTGACTTCTGAGTCCAGTGATTTATCAAAGGGCAGCTGACTGTTTGTCACACAGTCTTGGACCTTAAGTACATGACATAAATCTAGTTGCTCTGACAAATGAGCTGGAAGTATTTTTTCTTCCCTTCTCCTCCCCCCCTCCCCCATTCCTTTAAAGATGAAGAACAAGTTCCTGAAGACTGGTTTCAAATTTTGCCACTTTATTTCTGACCTTAATTAATTCTTTTAGAGAAGCTCTCATGCCTTCATTCAGGAAGTCTTTTTTGTAGCCTCCTGGCTATTGAGACATTTTGCTTGGCTTCAAATAACAAGAAATGATTCCATCTGAAATCACCGCATAAGCAAGGAAAATAGATGAAGTTCCTTCCCTTCTTTATGTAAGGAATTCCAGGGTTGTAGAGAATTACCCAAATTCTTCAGATGAAGTTTTCATATCTAAAATCTTTCATGTCTGTATTCATAAATGGGGAATTATAGTTTGAAATATAATGTAATATACTTTCCAGAGCCCCATGTGTGGTGGTGTAGGCTGTACCTACACAAGAGAGCAGGAAAGAGCGGCAAGTAGGGACTGAAATGTAGCCTCCACTCGGCTGGACAAGATAAGAGGCCATGGGGTTATAGCCCCCCAGGAAAGGCATCTGTTCCTATTCACACAAAGATGCCCTATGGGCTGATAAATGGTTTACATGCACACAGACACACACATGCAAACATACACACACAAACATACACACACATGCCTATGTCCAGTAGACACTGAGAAGTTCCTGTCAGTAATAATTTTTAAATCTTTTTATTCAATGGGCATTCTTATAATGGTAAACTATGTTGCTTCAATAGAAACTAATTATATATATCCAACTTTAACACTATAAAAGTGGTATTTTCAGTATTTAACTGAAAATGTAACAAAGGACCTGAATAAGCCTTTGGTTTGAAATACAGTTCCCAGACTACATGGTGGAGTTTCAGCATGAAGGCAGAAGGGAATGAAAAATATTGGGACCCTTTGGTAATGAATAGGAAGCCACTGAGCAAAAATCACAGAATACTCTCATAGGCACATACACCTTCCTGACAACCCTGTGTTCAGGATGATCCAACCATAAATAAATAATAGGCCAGTGGTGAGGTGAGTCTTAGCTGATTTTGATGGACTCATTTGGTTAGTAGTTATAGTTGGGATGGTTAAAGGTTTTTATTGTTCATGTAGAAAACCAAAGTATACAGATTCATGAACCTGAAGAAATAGGCAATTCTGATCATTATGCAACTCTGGAGATGATTATATGGGTTGCCTAGTAAATTTCAAATCTTGGACAGGTACAGTTGTTCATAAGGGAGTAATTCTTAAGCTGAAATAAAAGTAACATTGAAGAGAATTCTAATCACTGTCATACCCCCCATCAGCATCCATTAGCATTTTCCTTTTATAAATATCACATGTCATGCAAAAAATGAAGTTCTAAATATAAATTTCCAACAACTAAAAATAAGCTAAATTTGACTATAAAGAGTTTCCTTCAGACTATTTAAATGTGTATTCTTGTTTTACACAAATTTTAATTTTACACAGACATTATGTTTTTTACTATTAAGAGCTGATTTCTCTATGAAAGGCATATTCTAGGAGATAAATGCTTAAAATATTTATACTAAATTAGAAAGGATTATTAGTTATACCTAAGAGTGCATAAAAGTAGTTATATGAATCAGATTGCTTAGAAGCAAAGCTGAAAAGCTGTTGTTTTTATGTTTTCAATATGTCAGTATACATTGTAATTATTTTTCAGGAGAAGAATTTTCTGCACTGAAGTCATTTTTCTCTGCCATCTCAAAGAAAAAACAAGAATTTACATTTAATCTTGCCAATGCCCTCTACCTTCAAGAAGGATTCACTGTGAAAGAACAATATCTCCATGGCAACGAGAAATTTTTTCAGAGTGCCATAAAACTGGTGGACTTTCAGAATGCAAAGGCTTGTGCAGAGACAATAAGTGCCTGGGTAGAAAGCAAAACAGATGGTAAAGTTTCCCATTTTCATAAAATCATTATTTGACATTGTATTCATGGGTTTTAATATCTTAAAGTAAACAAAGGTTGAATATTTTCCTACTAAACTGGCCCAGAGGGGTAAATCTCCTATTTCTCTTCCCTGCTATTCAAATTAATACTCAGTTGTAAAACCGAGAGAGAAATTGTGAGCTGCTTTGAAAAGTACACAGATACTTTTTTTAAAAAACGACACCTATTTCTGTAATTCTTAATGGAATAATTTTAATCATAATTTTTGTTAAAGTATAGGTTTTTAAAGTATGACAACAGGAATAATATCTTTGGCCAGATATTAGATCTGTCAATCCTAAATGCTTCCACCCCCACATATACTATAAATAACTAATACATCTTCATTGGATGTGTTAATGTTTAATAATAAATATTGGTAGTCCTATTATAAACATGGTAATCTTAATTTTAAATTAAACACAAATTTAAAAATTTAGCAAAATTTCCAAAGGGTCTACGACATGGCACAGTAGAAAGAACACAAGTTTAAAGTTATACATATGAGTTCAAGTTTTAACAGGTTCTAAGATATGTCTCATTTAAAATGAGGATGTTATTAAAATTTCAGGATTATTGTATGTGTAATGACAAGCATACATCTAGTCCTCAATGTACAACAGTCTGTTTCTTTGCTTATTTATTCTGCTATAAAAATTGTGATAGTGTAAGATGCTACTATTTTCTTTATGGGAAGCCTCATTTAGGGAACCATAAGTTGAAAATATGAGATGGGTGTGGTGAGCTGTATCCACATTTCTACGCAGCTCCATGGCATCCAATCATGCTTTTGTCTCATAACTTTAAAATATTCATTTCTGTTTTTTTTTAGAAAGAAAATCATTCTGGCAGCTCCATACTTGTCTCTTCCAATGGTCAGGGACTGTAGCTGCAAGAGTAGAAGGTTGAGTGTACCATTAACTCAGTAATTCTGATTGACCTACTGGAGGACCTTGAAATAAATTTTGAAAATACCAGTGGCTACGCAGGAAGGGATACTGAGTTTTTGTTCTTTTTGTCTGCAAAGCCATTTATAGAAATAATCTTGCTAAAGAGAGTTCATTACTAGGTCAGTTCAAATTTGCCTAAGATGATCTGTATCTCCTGTTTCCCAGTGAAATCCCGTTTGGAGCCATTTCTAAGTAAAATATTTAATAGTGCTCCTCTTTACCTTCAAAATTGCTATGTTTAGGTAAGAAGCACCCTGTTCACAAGTGATCTGCAAAATAAATATTTTTTTAATTTGATTAAAGCATTTCCACTAAGTTATTGCCTATTTCTTGCTGCCTCTTCTCCCACTCCCTTTACAGGAAAAATTAAAGGCATGTTTTCAGGGGAAGAATTTGGCCCTCTGACTCGGCTTATCCTGGTGAACGCTATTTATTTCAAGGGGGATTGGAAACAAAAATTCAGAAAAGAGGGCACAGAACTGATGAATTTCACTAAGAAGGATGGTGCAACAGTCAAAATTCCAATGATGAAGGCTCTTTTGAGAACCAAACATGGTAATACGGGGTATCACCCTCTAAAGCATGGCTTTGGGAATTGACAAGTATATTTCATATTTTATTTTCTCTATTGCAGGTTATTTTTCGGAATCCTCCATGAAGTACCAGGTTTTGGAATTACCTTATAAAGATGATGAGTTCAGTTTAATCATTATACTTCCTGCAGAAGAGGTGAGCATAGAAGACATGGAAAAACAAATTACTGCCGATCTAATCTTGAAATGGTTCTCTGAGATGCAAGAAGAGGAAGTGGAAATAAGCCTCCCTAGGTTGGTAATATTTTGTTATTCTGGTTCTTATGTTTTCACTTATGGAGGAATTTGAATTCAGGCGGTCGGCTCAGTGATAATAAAGACTACAGACAGGAGTGAAAAGGAAGATGCAAGTGGAAGTATTACTCCATGTTATGGATACAAAGGTAGGTCTGCACATTGCCAGCATTGCTTTGCCATGAGGAGGACTGAGTTTAAGTGCCCCAATATTCTCTCAAAGGGATGAAGAAATGTAACTCTTCAAATGAGAATGCTAGGATTAAAAGAAATTATTATTCTTTTATTATACAAAGTTATTTTTTCTCATTTTTCCATGATTAGAATTTAAAATATTTATCTTCTATTATGTTTAAGAAAAATAAAATGCCTAAACACTTAGGGAGGGGAATAAAGGAGACATATGTAATACTCTTTGTAATACTTTAAGCAATAAAACAAAACAAAAAAAAAGCTATGCTAAATCACTTTTGACAGACAATGCTCTAACAGTCATTGAGTTATACCTAGACTCCTAGGTCAGTTTTAGATAGTCAGTACAAATGGAAATTGCAAAGGCATGCTCAGGAAGCAATAATCCTATATATTAAAAGCATAGTATACAAATTGTCCCTTCAACCATCTGGGAGTTCAACCGGGGGAGGGACCAGCCGGGGGAAGGGAGGGAGTATCCAGCTGGCAGCCGTCCTATATAATAAAAGCATAGTATACAAATTGTCCCTTCGACCATCTGGGAGTTCAACCGGGGGAGGGGCCAGCTGGGGGAAGGGAGGGAGTATCCAGCTGGCAGCCAGCAGCTGCTAGGGACCCTGCCAGTGCATGAATTTTATGCACTGGGCCTCTAGTGTCTCAATATTCTAGGAGACAGGAGAGATTTCAGAGATAAGATGTGTCCAAATAAATTAATGTATACTTTTAATTTTTAAAGAAACAGACATCTAATAGATTATATCCTGTCCTTTTATTTCTAACTAGGGGCCCAGTGCACGAATTCGTGCACCTTGAAAGGAACTGTGGGCAGCAAGGCTGCGGTGAGCACAGAGGCAGGTCTTGGCCCATCCCTTCTGCCCCCACCCAGCCCCTCTCACCGAGGCCCTGGGTCCCCTGTCTACTGGCAGCCCCGCTCCTGTAGCCGTTGCTTCCACACGCTGATGGAGCCAGCCCCCACTGATGACGCAGAGCGATTGGGGCTGGCGCTATCTGCTGGTGTGAGCAGTGGCTGCTGCTGCAATCGCCCCTCAGGAACAGGGGGAGGTGGAGAAGCCCACAGGGGCGATTGAGGCCAGCAGCCGCTGCTTGCACCTGCTGACATTGCCAAGCATTCGGGGCCGGTGCCGGGTGCCGGCCGCGAGTGCGAGGGGTGGCTCTGGCACTGGCAGCAGATGCAAGCGGGGCCAGCGCCAGCAGCAGGTATGAGTGCCGGGCAGGACGGCACTGCGCCAGAGCAAAGAATTTTTAGTAACCAGCAGAGGCTCGCCCCGATGACAGCAACCAGCACCCCGCCTTGGTCTGACGCCCCTACTCACCTGCTCTACCATCCCGCTGTGGCTGACGCCCACCATGTTCTGCGCTCTGCCGCCTGAAGCCGATGCCCGCCATGTTCCTCACGTGCCCCCTGGTGGTCAGTGCACTTCATAGCGACTGGTTGTTCGGTTATTCGGTTGTTTGGTTGTTCTGCTGTTCGGTCTATTTGCATATTTAGGTTTTATATAGAGAGATTACTCAGTGCTGTGGTTCTTTTATATCTGAATGGATGCATTATGGTTTCAAACTAATGAAGATTTAGGTAAAACTAAAACAACTTAATCAGATATGTTTGCTTTAGCTCTTGTAACAAATTAACACAAACAACATGACTTAACACAACAGAAATTTATTCTCTCACAGTTCTGGAGGTTAGAGGGCCAACATCAAGGTGTTTACTGGGCCATGCTCTCTCTGAAACTCTGTACAATCCTTCCTTGCTTCTCAGCTTCTGGTGTTGATCCATCGTCTTTGCTGATGTTCTGCTTGTAGATGCCTGTCATCACATGGTCATCCTTCTTCCTGTGGCATTCTCCTTTCTTATAAAGACTCCAGTCATAATAGACTAAGGGCCTGCTCTATTCTAGTCTGATATCAACCTAACTAATTGCATCTGCAATGACCCTATTTCCAAACGAGGTCACATTATAAGGTGCCGGGGATTAGAGATTCAACATATAAAGAGGGGACACAGTTCCGCCCATAACACCAACTATAATAAATTCTGTTATTCTAAGTCAAAATAAAGCCTCTTTGGTAGCAAAATTTAGTAAATGCTAAAGAGAGAAAAGTTAGTCTATAAATACTTGTATATAAATAATAGTAGGAAGGAGCATGTGAGTGACTAGTTACTGTTTAAGAAACACTTCGTTCCCTTTTTGATGCATACTAGTTAAGAATCAAGAGCAACATGATATAGTCTTAAAAATACTAGGGTATTTCCTAGTGTTTATTATGAGTAACACACCACACCAGATATCTAATTTTGGACATTATTCTGCAATTGGATAGCAGCTAAAATAATCATCTTTCTTTGTCTAAATATAATATGGGATCCTATAAACATTAATAGTCAAATTTCTTCAGGTTGAAGAGTCTAACATACATTTGAGTTATGTCAGATTCTTCTCTGTATGTGTTTTTATGGTTATGTGTATGGGCAAAAGTGATCATTTAATACATGTATGTTAGGTAAATAAACAAGTAACTTTCATCTACATAGCAGTTTAACTTTGTAAAATATTTAGCATTTATATTTTAACTAGGGGCCCAGTGCATGAATTCGTGCACCTTGCAAGGACTGTGAGGCTGCGGTGGGCACAGGGCTGGGTCTCGGCCCATCCTCCACACCCCCGCCTGGCCCCTCCTTCAACAGCCCCTGGTCCCCAGTCTGCTGGCAGCCCCACTCCCACCACCGCCACTGCTTCCATGCGCTGACAGTGTGAAGCAATTGGGGCTGGTGCCATCAGCCAGTGCAAGCAGTGGCTGCTGCCCAGATCGATAGCCCCTCAGGAGTAGGGGGAGGTGGAGAAGCCCTCAGGGGCAATCAGGGCCTGCAGCCACCACTTGCACACATTGACAGCACCGACCAATCTGGACCGGCGCCAGGTCCCTTCAGTGGGTGTGAGCAGTGGCTCCAGTGCCAGCAGTGGGTGGGAATGGGGCCGGCACATAGGAGCAAAGAATTGTCAGTAACCACTAGAGGCTTGCCCAGATGATAGCGACCGGTGACCCACCATGGTCTGGCGCCCCCACTCACCTGCTCCACCATCCTGCCACTGCCAGTGCCTGCCATGTTCCACGCTCTGCCGCCTGCTGCCGATGCCCGCCATGTTCCGCAAGCGCCCACGGTAGTCAGCGCATGTCATAGCTACCGGTTGTTCCCGCGCTCTGCCGCCTGCTGCCGATGCCCGCCATGTTCCACAAGCGCCCACGGTAGTCAGCGCATGTCATAGCGACCGGTTGTTTGGTTGTTCAGTTGTTTGGTTGTTCTGCTGTTAGGTCTATTTTCATATTAGCCTTTTATTATATAGGATACTTAATGCTGTGCTTCTATATTCTGACTTGGTTATATCTTGTATTTCGAGATAAGGAAACTTAGTCATTCAAAATATAAATTGATTGACGTTTGACTAAGTGTTAGGAGATGGGATAAGTTCCCATGCTTGTTGGCTCATCGCCTTACAGTCTTATTATTCTGCTACTTGTTAGAAAATTTATCTCCTGTCCAGAAGCACAGATTAATTGGGACAGCACTCTAGACATGGAACTAGGACAGATGCCAAGTTATAGACTTGTTGCCTATCCATAAGATGATAGATGGAGTCATGAAGGATTTGCATGAGAAATTTACTAACAATATGCAGCAATGCACAGTAAATTCTAAAAGAAATGGTATAATCAATAAGCACCAGGAGGTTTATTAAAAAGGAGAGAGAAGAAGGGAGAAGAAGCACTAGAAACTGGAATTGTAAACAAAAGCTTCGTGAAAGAGGAAGAACTTGAGCTGGGCTTTAGAAGAATCAAGATGGGTAAGTCCTGCGTGTAATGGGGAGTTACTGAAAATTTCCAAGTAGGATAATGGAGTATTAAGGCAGTGTTTTAGAGGAATAGTTTTTGTTCATGCTGAATAGCTTGTCTGAACTCTTTCCCAACTCTCTACCACCCCTACCCCTACCTCCACTTTTCTGGATCACTACTATGTGTCCTTAAAACAAAGTTTGAGTTTTTGAAAGCTTTTTTGATCTCTTCATGCAAGATCCCACAGCATCTTCCTTTCTCCCTGCTGGGAAAAGTTCTCCCAGTTCCTTGTGTTTATTTCTGCATAGCAGTTATATTAAAATTATTTGTTTGTCTTCCTCACTGGACTGTAAACTTCTTGAGGTCAGGAACTATGAATAGTTTCTTTCTGTGACCCCAGCACAGAGCATACATTTGAAAAATAGTAGATGTTCAATGAACGCATGTTGCTTTAATCTGAATAGTAGTTATGTTCAGGATATGGCAAAGAGGTAGAGACTGAAGCCCAAAAGATCAGTACAAAACCTATTGCAATGATTTGGGAACTGAGTAATGAATGTTTAAAGGGGGCAGCTTCACTGGGAATAGTAAGGAATTGGTGGAGAAGAAAGACACTGGAGTGTGTGACTAACTAGATATGGGTAAGAATGTGTTGAGTTTCCAAGCTTGACTTACTAGGAAAATGAGAGGATGTGACTTCTTGCTCTTTTGTAGCAGTCTTTAACTGGACAGCATGGACTTCTGGAGTGCACTGGGACTTTAGAGAGTCCTTAAGGACCTTGAAATTATTAGCAAGTATATGTATATACAGTCATGTATTTATTTCCTTGGGAGAATTTTCATAGTTGTCATTGAATTTTTGACAGTCTAGTTATTTAAACTTGTTAAATACTATATATAGTTCTATTCAAAAGTATACTAATAACTAAACAATAGTAATACTATTTCTGAGAGGTATTTTTTAAAAAATATTTACTGATGTGGCATCTCACAGTATCTTTTCTCAACTTTTGAAACCAGTTCATGGAAAATAGAACATAATATTGAAGACCAAGAGTTTTGAAACCTTCTAACTATATAAATTTAATTACCTTACCTAATATTTTTTATTATTCAAAGGGATAATGATAATATATGCTTTTTAAGGTTGATGTTAGGATTATCTATAATAATAAAAGCATAATATGCTAATTAGACCGGACAGCCAAACGACCTTCCAGATGAAGCCGGGGCTGCTAGGCATGTAATTCATGCCAAGGCCCTTGCACGAATTGCATGCCTTGAGCCTCTAGTATAAGATAATGTGTAAAAAATGTTAGTACTCATTATTAACTCTTATTGTTTTTATTGTTATTCTCACTCAATTTTAACTTTTATAGAGCATTTATTGCAGTGTCAACACTGTTCAAAATGCTTCTCTTTTTACCATATCTCATTCATTCCCCACAATAAATTGGATAGAGATCTATTTTGATATTCAGGTTATAGATAAGGGACACCCCTTGCCTGTGGGTACATAGCTAACAAATAGCAGAGCCAAAATTGCAAGAGTCAGAAAACAAGTGTAATGCGAGGCAGCCATGAGGGAGAGCACAGAACAGAGCAAATGATCACTGGTAGAATGAGCAACAAGATAAAAGATGTGGAGCAGCAGTGCAAGGAGACTTTTGAAAAGAGAGAATTCTTACCATAGGACATGAAGTATCATATTCTTGCTGAGCTAGAAATCAGTCCCAGGCGTGGCCGGCTTTGGATCTGTAAGATGGTGAATGTGAATTGTGTGTGGGTGAGAGAAAGTGAACTCAGGGAAAATGAGGCTGGATATGAGAATAGAGATGTCATGACCAGGTGCAGTAGTGATTACAAAATGTTCATTTACTTTAATCTATTGGACATGGATACAAATTGGAGTTCCAAGTTTACATTAAACTTTGTCCAGATAAGTTTTATATGTAATGGAACGTATTTTAAATTCAACCCTGAGACTAATAGAGTTTTTCACACACACATACATGTGCACACGCACACACACACACACACACACACACACACACACACACACACCCTTCAAGGTAATTGATTAGAAAGGGACCAGAAACTACTATGTACTGACACAATAGTCCAGGTTCACCATTGTCAAGGATTGTACTAAATTTTTATCCTTGGGTGCAGCTTTAAATTTTGGGTTGCTTGATTCTAAGACTGAATATTCCAAGGATGAATCAAGTCCACTATCTCAAAGCTGGGCTTCCAAATAATAAGGATAGGGATGGTAAAGGAGACCCAACCAAGACTTTATTAAACAATAGTCCTGGGTATAAAGCTTTGTACGAAAAGGAAAGCACAATACAAATCCACAGTAGGGCCTGTAGACAGGAGTGAATCCATCTCAAAACAGAAATTCTCATGTGCTTTTTTCTCTTTTCTGCAGCTTTTACCTGGGTAAGACCCCTTTAAGCACAATGATTGCATTTGACAGTCAATTTCTGTCTTGTAAGCAAACAGATATTACTTATGTATGCTAAAACATTCATTTCATGATTATTTAGTTTTAGATTGTCTATCCAGTCTTTTGCCATTCTTTTACTTTAGCTGTATTCTTCTGACAAGTTTAGAGGAAGATCAAGGAAAAGGGAAAATGAAACCACATGCACAGTTAACTACATATATACTAGTATATATATAATATGATTTTGAATTATATATATTTTTAGAAGGCAATGGGAGTTATGACATTAGCTTTGACTTGGAATGGACCTGAGTTTGAATCTTACCTGTCTCCTATCCTGACCTTGAACCTGAAAATCAATCTTCTCAAACCTTCACTTTTTTATATGTTAATAGGAATAATAATAGGAATAATAATGCTAACTTCCTGGGGTTTATGTGAAGATTAAAAACTATAAACTATATTAATGGAAGTGCTACTTTACATATGGCTATTCATGGCTCTAATAATTATGGATAATTAGAAATTGGTTGTAGATTAAATGGTTAAGTGGGTTTCTATTGCTATAGGTTTCATTGGACTATATTATGAGCAGGACTGTTACTTAAATGACTGGGGTGATAATTAGGCTTTATTGGAACTTGTAATATGTCTTGCAGTACTAGTGTTATTATAAAAAAAAAACCAGTCAATTTGTAGGTGGAACATTTATTCTCTGCCTTTTAGAAGCCCATACTCCATTCAGTTTAAAAATAGAGTGTGATAATGAAGCAAAACAAAACAAACAAATCCTCAAAACCATTACCCTGCATATTATCTTTCTTAGTTGGAAGTTCAGAGAAAGAAGCTGAAAACAGTTGGTATAAAAGAAGCTATTTTCATTTTTAGTAGATTTGAATGCGCCTGTTGTGCCCATTGCCAGTGAGCTAGGGTTTTATGAGTTAACATCTTCCAAAAGTGCACAATATTTTACCAGAAATAATTTAGGTCTAGTACATTTCTGCCACAGCATATTCATTGTTTTGAAAATTTATAATTAGGAATCTTGTTCGCTCAGTATTTGGCAATTAAAACAATGATCTAATTAGACTGACTGCCCAAGTTAATTTCTAGCCCCAGATGTGGGCCTACCTGTTAGCTAAGCAAGAATCCTGTGCTTGAGCAGTTGTGTCTGTATCCAAACCTGAGAACAGGGGCAAATGCTCATCAGGGCAGAACAGTGCTCAGACAGAACAACATGGGCAGGAGTTGTCTGGGAATTTGGTTGATGTAGGAATATTCAAAGCTCCCTGTTTGAGGACTTCACACTCCTTTCTTTCATAAACAAATTTTCCAATCTGGTTTTCAAATGCAAATTGATGCTTTGAGCATCTATAATGTCAGTGAATATTAGTTATTATTATTATTATTATTATTACTAGTGGCCCAGTGCACGGATTCATGCACATCGAAAGGAAAATAATTAGAAGAAATATTTTAATATTGCTCTCTGCCTTTTCTCCCTCAGCGCCTGGGAGCTGGGCGGTGGCCCTGCTCCCAGCCACTGCTGCTGGTTGCCCTCTGCAGGGTGATCCGGCCCCGCCTGGCTCCCGCTTGCACCCGCCTTGGCCTGGCACCACCCGCTCACCTGCTCCACCATCCTGCCATGGTCCCACTCTCGTCGGGGCCCGTGGAGGCCAGTAATGCCTCCACTGCTGCCCGCTGCCAGCGCAGCATTGCCAATGCCCATCATGTTCTGTGCTGCCCCCTGCTAGTCATTGCATGTCATAGCGAGCGGTCGAACTGCCAGTCTTTGGTTGAGGGGAAAATTTGCATACTAGGCTTTTATTATATAGGATTATTATTATTAAAATGCCAACGTAAGGTTCAGTGATTGCTGTTGACTTGGAATCATGGCTCTGTGCTTAGAGTCTTTGAGATTCTCTGTGTCAGGTCCCTCTTCACATCAGCTTGGAGAGGTGAGCTGAATCTGGAGTCCTAACTTATGGCCCTGCTTTGGAAGCGAGGCAGGGGAGTTAGAACAGGGAACAAAAGTCTCAAGCTCCAGCCCTCCCCTTCTCCATCTTATCTGGAACATCACAGACAGGACCTTCACAGACCACCTGTTTCCCTGCTTCCTTCTGCCCAATTTCCTCTCATTGGGAGGACCAAAAAGAAATTGCTGGATAGGAGAGACAAGTGTGATTCCCGCTGGCAACCAGCTTCAGAAGCAGAGGACCACCTTTGCCCACGTTTAATAAAGACCTCCCGCCCAGACCCATTGGCGCTCTTCATTCTCCGAGGTCGCCCACCCTCACTTCTCGAGTGTGATCTGTCGCTTTAATAGACTTCCTGTGCTTTGCTGAATCTTTCTGTCGTGCTGGTCAATTCCTTCTCATTCCCTGACAAGGACCTGAATGGGTTGAGGCCTCTCTTGGCCTCTCAGGGTGCCGCCAGGAATCAGAAGTAGTGGACATTTTTGTTTTTCTCCTATAATGCATTCCCTGACAAGGACCTGAATGGGTTGAGGCCTCTCAGGGTGCTGCCAGGAATCAGAAGTAGTGGGCATTTTTGTTTTTCTCCTATAATTTTTATCTTTTATTTCATTTGGAAGATATTTTGTTCCCTTTCAATGTTTTACACCACTTACTGGGCCTATTGAAAAGATATTAGGTGAGTTCACAACAGAAGGAAGTCACCTCAATTATGACAATGGATGGGGAGGAGGAAAATAGGTGACTAAGGCCTCGCTGCACCCCAGTAGCCAACAATTTCCTCCAAGGATTGTTGACTCCTGTCCTCCTCTCATCGCATCATGGCCATCTGCCAGGAAGAGTCTTGGATGGTGTGAAAAACACCTGAGTTAGATGGTTGCTGGAGGGGAACCTTCAAACTTCTAGGGAATGAGCCAAGCAATTGGAAACTTAAAACGCTCACCCTGTTTAGTCAGGTAACTGTTACTCAAAAAGTAGAGTGTTCTCTTCCCCCTTTCCACCAACCATTTATCTGGAAAACAAGTTATTAGTAACCCAGAAAGGCTGAGTGGAGCGGGGGAAACATGGTGTGTGGAAATGTGAGAAAATGTAACTGGGGTAATGCAAACAAAAGATTTCACAATATAATTTCTTCTAAATCGACCACTTTATAGATTAAAAAAAATTGGAAGTAGCAAATGCATACATTGTTTCTTTCTTTTTTAAAACAGATTTAAAGTAGAACAAAAATTGGACTTCAAAGAAGCTTTGTATTCTTTGAACATAACAGAAATATTTAGTGGTGGCTGTGACCTTTCTGGAATAACAGGTAATATGATAAATAATTTGACAGCATGTTAATATGTTTTCTTAGTAATCATGTTAACTGACTGCTTTTAAAAGGGAAAGAGCGCCGGGTCCCAGGAAATAAACACATACACGATGAATAAATGCCATCGTCGTGTTGAGCTGTCTGTAAACACTCTATTTTCCATTTAAGTACTTTTCCTTAATGAAAGCCAGAAAGCATTTTAGAATGTTAGATAAGCCTTCCAACCATGCTTGTAATGAAACTATGTAGGTAAAGTATTATACGGGCTTTTATTTTGGCCCTATTTGGATTTTCTTATTTGAACAATGGGAATTACAACTTTGAGTCTCTCATCTGAGCAGAGCTAATAAAACTCTTATAACCCAATTTGCAAATGTTAATTCGGTAATATCAGAGCCCATGAAACAGGCATTCACAACATGCTGGATGATGAACACAATCTAGAAATTGTAATGCTACAGCTTGTACATTTAGCTTGGGACTGACAAAACAATTGGGGAGATGGAGTTCTTATGCTAACTTGCACCTGGGAAATTGTGCAGGGTTAAGACGTTCAGATTGAACAACAAAGCCCAAGATAGTCTTTTAATTTTTTTCATCCTAACAATACTCATTAGTTCAAAAATACACAAACACAAACACACACACACACACACACACACACACACACACACGCACACGATGAGGAAGACCAATTAGTCCCAAGTTACTTACCCTCTTTTAAATTTAGTCTTCTATTTTATAAAAAGGGTCTTGATAGTAGAAGCCTATCTATCTGATGGGCTTTTGTATCATGGCATGGAAATTTTGTGTATTCCTATATAAATCTCTGGGCTTCGAAGAAGTATTCATTAATTTATTTACTCATCAATTATGTGGGTAAATAAACAGAATGAGCTTTCCTGACGCAGGGATTGGGTGGGGTATGCAGGCAACATAGAAGTTCACTGTCACCTTCACACATGATTTAGCTACTTGTTCTCACACTGACAGAAAGATCTAACTTCTTTGACAATCTCCTCGGCATCAGAAATGAGACAGTCAGCATTAAATACTGCAACAGGATGCCATCTGAGTGTGCCTTGGAACACAGCCGCCTCATCAGCCTGAAATAAAACAAGGCATTTCCCCAGCACCGCTTCTTCTTAAACTTTTTCTCGCCTTCGGAAGCTTACTCGCTGTCCCCCAGACATTTCAAACAGCTACTCACTCCGCAAATTCCCAGCAATTTGTGAATTCTACAAAATCTCTTTTTACTGGCAGATTTGGCAAGAAAATAACTCCAAAATGTTTCATAAAAGAATTTATGCAAGAGAACACCTCAAACAGAGAATAAATGCCCAACATTTTCAGCTCTTTCTCTCCTGAGTTACCTATTTGATTTGTTTTAACTACGTTGGTTCTGTCTTATGCCTGAAATAGACCAACCAGAGCCAAGGATGGCACTATTCCTGGTCATTAGGAAAAGAGTGATTTCCATGCTATCCCTACCTTTCATTTGTGCAATAAGCAATCACTAAAGGCCACTGAGAACCAGCCCAGCACCAGTGCTATGGGATAGTTACACAAAAGAGGCACTACCCTGTGCTCATGGAGTTCACAAATTTTAGAGGAAATATTTTCAGAGAGTTACTTAGGAAATTTTGAGATGAAGATTTGACTTCTAACTGTTATTTCTTTTTTATGTCATCTTTAGAAACATAGAAGTTACTCCACAAATGCTAAATAAAAAATACAAGTGGGACAAGTGGCACCGTAATATTTACTTGCACATCTTCTAGCAAAGAAGGTTTTTTATTTTTTTGACACATGGAATTTTTATAGAAAACTAAGGGATAGCATTATTATGAAGATGTAGAAAACATTGAGTTTATGGAGTCCAGATTTCTTGTTCTGGCCTATTACCTCTCAAGTCCTGTTTGTTTCCCAAGACTGGGTCCTCTCTGTGGTAAGACAGAAAACACAAAACCAAGTTGTTTAGTCTAAGAGGCAGAGAGTCACTTGGTCTTGTGACATTGTGAAAACGGGTGAAATTCTCTACTCCTCCAACACCTACTTTTTTTTTTCTGTTATCCCCCCTTTTTAAATTTTCTTTATTTATTAAGGTATTACATATGTGTCATTATCCTCCCATTGGCCCCCCAACCCCCAATCATGCCCTCACCCCCCTATTGTCTGTGTTCTTTGGTT